ATTGTTTACTATATAATAATATGTACAATTATATTTATACATTTATATACACATGTACACATATATTAACTTGACCAGAAATCATAAACATTTTATATTAGTTCATAAATTTGTACAAGCCATCAATGGTTAATAAATCAATATACAAAAATAAATAATATATTTACATTATTTTTATAAGAACATGAAAACTATTTTGTTTTAAAAAAAGCAATTATTATTGTTCAATTATTCTAAATGACTCATGGAAATTGTTTTAGTTTTGTATTCAATTATTGTCACTGATTTATTCAAATTACTGCATGGAAATCTTGATCCCGCCCTTAACAACATCTCTCGCACCGGATCTGATATTTTTATAATTCTCCCAAGCATAATCGTATCTTTTTAAACTTTTAACGATTTCTTTCCGTTCATTCGACCCAACGACACAATATCTGATGTAAATTTTACACCCCGCTAGCAATGCATTTTCTATCTGTGCGCTTTGAGATCCAAGCAGACGTTTTTCCCAGTGAACGGTTTCAAAACAACGACCGGAGAACTTGCTGAAAACGGGGTATTTTTTGCTCTTCGCTCCTCCGTGTTGTACGGAGACTTCAAACAGACAGTAAGAGGGAAGCATGAGCTTGGTTGCTGGTAATGTCTTTAACGTGTATCCTGGTTGACTGTCTCTTCTCTGCCAAAGGGTTTTATTGATGTTTGGCTCGTCGCTAGCCAAGGCCAAAAACCAAGGTCTCCAGTTCAAGGTTCGGAGGTTAAAGTTGATTTCTGGAACATTTTCGCGTTTTAGTAGAGGGAGGTTTTTTAATTTGTATTTGTTTAGCAAGGAATTGATTGACTTTTTCTTGCTTAACAGAGTCTTTGGTGCAGCGGGCATGGTAGTTTTGGAAACAATGTCGACGGTCTTAGTTTTAGCTCTCATTTTCTTGTCAGGTTTCAAACTTTTCGCCTTCTTCACACTTGGTAGCAGACCAGCAAATATTGGGGAGAGGCGAGCACGTTTCTTTGGTGTAGGACTTGTGAGGCTCAAGGTCGGAGTGGCATTGACCTCGTCACGTAGAGAAGCAAAAATGGCGTCAATGTCCATGGCAAGTTTACCATCGCCATATCGGGCTCGCACTTCTTTTTCGTAGTTCACTAACATGGCCGTGTCGTGGCTCTCTCTGTAACACACGGCCATCAGGGTGTCGAAGATACTCCCAAAGTCATCGAGACGAAGGTGTTTACCGTTTGTGGCGATAGAGATCGTCTTGTAGAAAGCCTCCGCGTTGTACTGACCGCACTGGACGCCGTAGATCGTCACGTCATTGACTGCCAGATTTTTGGTCTCGTCTCGCCAGTTGACCTTGTCTTTGTTGCAAGCTTCGGTTGGCTCGTGCGGGTTGTCGTCTCCAATCAAGACGAGGACACGCCTTGAGCCTGGCGTCCACGACAGCTCTGTCCTCACTTGCTTCAGCACTAGCTCGTAGCACTCAGGGGCGTCGCCCCCTCCAGTCCGCTCAGCGTTCTGGACGAATTCACAAAGTTGGGCCACGTCTGTAGTGAAGTCGATCCACTTGGTGACGTAAGTGGCAGCGTCACAGTAGTCCCCGTGGGCGAACACGGCCATCCTGATGCCGGGGATGTCGGCCTGCAGACGTTGTATCATGTCCTGGATCCTGCCACGGACCTGCTCGAGCCACGTGTACATAGAGCCTGTGGTGTCGAAGGAAAACACAACTTCTAGACACCCACATGGAGGGACTGGAGCATTTAATGCAGGCATTGTTGTTTTATGTGGATTAAATGTATTCAATTCAACGAAGCGCGGAAATAAAATTATTTAGTCTTTAAAAGCAGTTAATTTTTTTTATCTCGCTAGAAGGTTTGTATCTATCCGTAGTACGAACGAAGGCTTATATAGTAAAACCAGACTGCTTCGCGGATCTGACGGTTCCGCGAAGTCATGAAAATCAATACTATTTTTGGCTTTGACAGCAGCGTAATCCGCGAAGCGATTGTGCAAGGTATTCAGGATTGCATGAGAATGAATTTTAAAAAAAAAAACAGGGTTATTTTTAATTGACTAAATATTACAACATTGCATTGTATTTTTTATGTTTTTAAATATTAGAAATTCGGTTGTTAAAATAGTCTCTTGAATAAGGCTTTTTTCTAAAATGTACACGTAGGTCTAATTGAATTATATAGTGCTTGAGTGCTTCTTGAATGCACTTAAATCAGTTATGTGGTAGTAAACAGGGAAGTGGTGATTTACTAACTTACTAAGGGAGCTGGACCACAGCTGGTCAAGTTCAGTTAGACCACGACTGGCCACGATCATTTAGACCACGATCACGTCCTGTTAGACCACAACTGGTCAAGTTAAGTTAGACCACAACTGGTCACGTTCAGTTAGACCACGATCACGTTCAGTTAGACCACAGCTGGTCACGTTCAACTTGATCACGACTGGCCACGACATGACATTAGATTTCCTGACACAGAGCCAGCAAATAAAAAAACAACGATAACATCGGCCAAATCTCAGATATGCAGGCATTTTACATTAAATGTTGCACGGAATATTTTAAAACATTCTACGTCATAGTTTATCAGTAGCTAGAATTAAATTCATCCCTGCACGTCACAGTTAGATGTTTAGAAATATTTTAGGTGTTTAACAGAGTTTGAAAAAAAAAAGATGTTTTGTCTGCCATTTCAAGGTGTTGACACGTCCATATGAGAGCCAAAACCAGGAATTTAAATGAGAACATCGTGAGGTAACATGAGCGACTTGGACTTTGCTGACACGGTATATTTTTTCTCACACGAGAGGATTTGGCCACTAATTATTAGATCAACTCCGCCGCTACTGGACTAGGCGCACTTAAAGTCCAATTTCGGAACATTGCTATCGTTCACAGAATACATAACATTTTTGTGAAATATTGATACCCCCTCTCCACACAACCAACCCTACCCCCTTTTCTTTACACAATTAGCGTCAAGGAATGACGTCTACCAATTTAACATTAAGCTACTGATAGTAGAAAAGCAGTTGCTTTGCTTAGTTATCAAAGTCTCCCTTTTACAATTTTTTAATACTTAAAAATACCATTAGTCACTTTCTAGATTTGTTAGATTTCTCATTATCGAAAAGGAAAACTTACTTAGCTCCACCTCTAACCCCCCTCCCTCCCCTTCACCTCAATTATAATATTTGTAATTTTTAAAATATCGGAATTAATTTATGTAGGCTTATTTAAATTTTAAAAAGTTGAAGAAAAAAATGTGCTCAAATTTTACAACACTCAATGTGAAAAGTTGAAACTAAAATTTATTTAACATATTAAACAAATAATCTGTTACAATACCTTATTGACATTCCATCCCTAAAACTATTTAGATCAGAGTTGCAGTCTGGCAAGCTTAAAGCGAAATGCATGATTTGCCAGGTTTTTGTGACAGCAGGCAACCGAAGCCGATTGCCAGCCATCTTCTCTGAAAGCTGAAGTTTTTTAATAGTCTAATTATCCCCCAGACCTATTGTGCCATCAAACTGAAGAAATCTCGTTCAATCGATACCCCAGAATAAATCGGGTATAATCGACTTGCTCGGCGACACGCCTGTCCCTTCAATACATCCACTCGGAAAGTCACGAAACATCACGATTCCAATTAACTTACTGACTCGGGGTGCACATTTTTCACCACCTTTCCGCATTCATGTTATCTTAAAAATTCTAATGAGGAAAATCGGAGGAAGGGCGGGGAATGGTTAAGACCAATTATCCGTAAAGTACTTATAAAGTGTGCCTCCGAGCGTAAAAGTTTTCTTGGAGCATTAAATTTATGGGGCGGTACTAAATGTTATGTAACAAAAACAAACTTGCCGCCCTTAAGCAAGAATCATAAACGTATAGATTGTAAAGAAGCGAAAGAAAATAATTATATAACTTGTATGACATGGGCTGTAACATCGTGAATGAAATCAACCAACGCTAATTATCTCAACTTGAAAGTTTCTGATAACAATTTTGGAATAAGAATTTTTTTTTCCCAGGGCGAATCAAGCTAGATTTCCTATAGGTGTTGAGGAAGGCTTTACTGGTGAGTAGGGACGTCTTTTTTTTTTAATACACCCGAAAGCTGACAGAGCAGAAAACCATCAATGAGCTCACTATGTTGTCTGCCCCCCCCCGCCACACATATTGGCCAGATAAATAATGCTCAATGGTTATGAAGGAATGGTAAAGTACCGACATTTAAAAAAAATAAATCAAAAATAATATTAAAGCACGTTCCTGGGGGCCCAACGAAATTTTTTCTTGAGTGGCCCATCGGGATTTTCCCCGGTAGACCGATGAGCCAGTTCACCCCTCCAGTCAGAGTTTCTTCCAGGCATCTCTTCGAAAAAGTCTACCGCCCCCCCCCCTCCCGAACGAGATGGAATTTATATAGTAAAAATATACTTTTATTAGTGTCCGCCCCCCCCCCCCCGGAAAATGTTGACCCCCCACCCCCGAAAATATGAAGTGCCCCCCCCCCCCCGGAGAAATAAGTCTAAAAGAAAGAAACACTGCCCCCAGTCTCCCCATTACTAATTCCAGGCAAAACAACTAAATAAAATGCAATACAGTGTTTTGTGCGATAAAGTTACTACTTAGATTTAGATCTAAGTATACGTCTATCTTCCATCTAGCTTTCTATATCGAGTGCTTTTTGTTATTTTCCTACTTTAGTAAAATCAGTTAATTGGTTAGTTCCAAAATAAATTTAGTAATATTTAACGACTTAAATCTCTCATTTTTAATGAATTTAACGAAGACTAAAAATTGAAACTAAACGTAGATTCTTTAATCTAACTTACTTACGCTTAATATAGCTTTACATAGATCTATATTTTGAAGATTATTTAAAGAAAAAAATTTTTGTCTCCAAAAATCATTTAACCTCAACAATTTTGTTTTGTTGTAACTTAAAGCTAAAATTTAAAAACTACAACCACTTTCGATTTCACCGAGTAGTATTAGATCTACTTCTCAACAAAAAACACTTGGCCTGTTTATTGTATTCAATACATTTTTCATCAGTTAAAATAAATAGATCTAGATTAGATCTAATATTTTATTCAATTTTAGCGCAGGCTAAGTTAAGTGATGCCTCTCCCAGCTGCTCTTCAGGCACGCTTAGCTAAGCGTGGATTACTTGAAGCTAAACTCAGTGCAAAGAAAAACACCTCTTCAAAGACAACAGGTAAAAAAAAATGAATGTAAACTACTACTTTTACTAGACTAGATTCTAGTAGACTAATTAAGTTAAGAATCAGACAATTTAGGACACAGATATTTGATTATATCAAATAGTTGTGGTTAGATCTAAGTCTAAGTTAAAGTTAAAATTTACGAAGTGACTACTCGGAAGATTTTTCTCCCCAACGTCTCCACTTAGTCGGCAAAAGATAGCTCTGCGCATGCGCAGTGACCTAGGGTTAGGGCTAGAATGAGGGTTAGGGGTAGGATTAGGGTTACAGATAGGGTTAGGGATAGGATTAGGTATAGGATTAGGGTTAGGATTAGGATTAGGGTTAGGATTAGGGATAGGATTAGCCTGTTAGGGTTCTGCAGTTGTAAACACACGCATGCGCAGTACCATCGAAAACATCGCAGCGAAGGCAAGTCGTAGTTTCTCTCCATTGCGCATGCGTATCACATGCGTATCTTATTCCGGCTAGCATCGGCCTAAAAGTAATTTTTAGGCCTAAAGTTTTATATTTAGAATTTAAGTTTAAGTCAGGGTCAGGTTAGGCGTATGGTATGAAGATGGTTGGGGTTAAGGATAGGGTTAGCATGGGTATGCATATGAACATTAGTAAGCCATGATGATATGTTTAATTCATTTAGTACATTTTGGCCTCCTAGATTCTATTTAGTTAATGACCAGTAACTTAACACCTCTTTTTTAAAGAAGACTCTGTTATCGGACTAGTATAAAAAATCCACCGGTATATTTTTCCCTCCATATTCAGTAGCTCTAGGACTACATGTCATAATTCATTGCAACTTCGTCATTGACCTCACTAGTTTTGACTCTTAAATGGTTCATTAAATAGGCCTATATTTTAAAAATTGTTTGCAATGTTATAAAAATAAATGTGGTTAGGCCTATAAACTACAAAAACTTCATTGTAGGGTTATGGGTATTCGGTATTGGCAGTGGCTGTGGTAAAAACATGACCTGAAAGTTTCAAAGGTCATTTTCACCTGTTAATTATAAAGTAGAATGGTTTCTCCTGTGTTTTTAGCATTTTGTGATATTATTGTGTGCATTCTCTCCTTTGGTCTTGCCCAAGCATTGCAAGGCTAGTTTCAAATAGGTTGTAATCTCATTTTTAAACAAAGTTATTTTAGAGGAAAAAATGTGTACAGAGCACCAGGGTCTTATGCATGTAAAATTATATTTGTGTTTGGATATTCTGTTTATTAGTTTATAACACAAGTTATCCCCATCCAAGTCTCAGTACTACTTTGGTCGCATAACTGCCATTGTTATACTTTTCATCCCCACCCCACTACTACTACTGGCTGTTTAATTGTTTTTAATTACAACTACTGTCATATGCCATTGTATCATTTTATAAATTTATGTTTGAAAATTTTTAACAACTTTGTTTTTGCACTCACTTTTAATTTTTTGAGATTTATTTGTTCATCACTAGACCTATAGTTATTTTTTAGAGGAATTTTGACTTCTCTAAAGAATTAAGCCGACTAACATTTTAACTGTAGGCCTATTTAATAATTTATTCTGTAAAACTGAAAATTAAGACTGAATTTTAAATTTCCCTTTATATCAAAAAAGGTTATATTATACAATTTCAAAGGGGCTCTAATGTTTTAGAAAATTTCAATGTTTTATATAATTTGTGTTTCCAATTGTAGAAGAAGTTGAAGAAGTATTTGCTGAAGATTACGATGACCCATCAAAGCCAGAAGCTCCAGTGTCACATCCAACACCAGCTTTTCTCCAACAACACCTGATACTTGAACAGCCCCACCAAGGTGCAATTGATATTGCTGCAGATGGACCAATATATTTTGAAACAACTGCTTGTCCTAACAGGTATTTAAGTATTCATTACATTTTATAATACATTTGATGGTTACATAGCAAAGAGATGGGACTTATATGATCACCATCATGGTTTTGTCAAGTAATTTTATGCTGTTGTACCTTGGCCTTGACCCTAAAATAAGTAGGAATCAATATTGCCCTGCTTTATTGTTTAGTACAGTTTAAGTTTAATTAAATCAGTAATTGAAACTTTTCAAATAAATGAAGGGAGGTAATATTCAAGTAGCTCTGGTACTATTGAATAATATGACATACAGAAAATAGCAGGTCTCTCTTTAACCATTAATTTAAACCAATTTAAAAAGAAACTTTTGTTAAAACTTCTTACTAGTCAAACATCAAGTACAATAAATGTTTCTAAATATAGTTTTATTTATTTGTAACATACAACTATTTGACAGGAGCAATCCTTATCATGAATGTGTTGCCTATTGTAAAAAACGTTACGGAATGCGTGAGTGGGATCCAGATACTGACATGCTAAAGAAAAAAGACAGAATGCTAAGGAAATACCCTTTACCAGAAGGCTGGTTACAAGTCGGAGACTTTGATACGTAAGTAATATGAGTGGTGGTATGTTCTACTACTTCTAGTAAGATTATTTGCAGGCATGAGCTATAACAAAATTTAATAGTTGAAGCTTTGTTGTAGAACAATGTAAGTGGTAATTATTAGATTATGTATTTTGAAATATTCCAGAGAAATAAAAAAGTATTCACTTTTTTTAATCATAGAGGACGTTACTATTATTGGAATGTCAATACAGATGAGGTTTCATGGTTATCACCAACACACCCCAAGGCAATAATTTCACAGTCTGCTGAGTTTCTAGGTATGGTTGTGTCATAATTAAATCAGGGTTTTTAAGTCACCCTCTGACAATAAACTTGGTTTCAGATCTCATGAAGTTTAATATGGTAGTCCATAAAAATGTTACAGAAATAAAAGGGGCAAAATAACTTGCACAAGCCTCCTTGCTAATATTAAGTAAATGTGAGTTTAACAAGATTTTGTGGTTTGCTGATTTTTCTGTTATTTTTAAAAAAAATATTTGAAACTGTTTTGAATCAAGGACATTCTAAGAATGTTAAACCTGTCAATAGAATTCAAACTAGAAACCACCGGTTTAACTGCTGTGATACAGTAATAGACTCCATCTTATTATTAATATTAAATGATGTGTGATGTGTTCCTGCGATATTTTTCAGGGATAGTGGGCAAAATTGGTGATTTGGACTCTGAATGGGAAGATACATCCTCTCGTTCTGCATTTATTAATCATGTAAGTAATCAAATCCTGGCTTCATCCCTCTGTATTTTAAAAAAAAAATTTGTACACGTTTACATTTTTTCCAAAGCAATTTAGTGATAACATTTCTACTAAATATTTGATATAAACATTTTCCATTTTATTTTTACAACTCATTAAAAAGTAGTAGTTTTACATTATATTTTTTAACGAACATTTTAAACCAAGACACCCATCTGATTCTACAGTACATTAACTCCTTTACCAACTGTTGTAGCATAAAAATAATTAAATAGTAGTTTTTTAGTGATTGATAGATGGGATTATTCAGTTAAATAAAATGCTTATGGAAAGACAAGTTTAATTTCATTATAAATCCAAAGTATGCAACTGTGAATGGTTTAAAAATAATGGACTTTAGGACATTAAAATGTTTTAATAGAATTCAAAATACCATCAGATATTTTCCTCATACCTTTTTGTAAGCAATTTATTTTACTGTATTTAGAGTGGAAGTGATACATCATTATCAGATGAAGAAGAATTTATTGAGAAACGAAGAAAACCACAAAAAAGAGGAAGACAAGGTAAATTGCTTGTATTATTTAATCAATCATACACCATATGGATTATTAGTCAGCATGTACTATTAAGACATAAATATTATATTCACATACACTGGCATATAATTTTATAAAGTTCTTAGCAGTGAATATATATTTTGTCACCACATTTTCCTCACTTGAATAAAATAAACATTGTTTCTTAAAATAGGCCAAGGTAAAAAGGATGACCTTGATCCTATGGATCCAGCTGCATATTCTGACATACCAAGGTATAAATTACTTTTAATAATTTTCTATTTAAGAAATCTTTAAACATAGCTATTTTATGTTTTGATGTTAATAAGTCTATATATAAAAATTTAAAAACATTTAATGCAACATGTTTTGTGTATTAGGGGAGGCTGGAGTGAAGGACTGGACCAACGTGGTAAAGCTAAAACTGGTGTTGATACAACAGCATCTGGGCCATTGTTCCAGCAGAGGCCCTATCCTAGCCCTGGAGACATCCTTAGGGCTAATCAAGGTTTAAAGAAGAAGAAATAATCTGCTTGTATATTTTGTAAAATATTATATTTTTCTTTCATTTTTAATAAAGATTGTCTTATTGTACTTATGCTTTTTGTAGGTATGCTTTTATAGTCAGTAAGTTCTGTTGTGATCATGTACAAGATATTTGCTCTGATAGCTGCAGACATCAATGGGTGTACAGTTAAGTTTCTGGAAAGCTAATTATACACAATTATCAAATTATCTGTTATTCATTTTAACTACATGAACTTGAAGTAATCTGTGACAACTGAATCAGATACAATTTAAACATTAATTAAAATTAAAAGTATAAAACAAACAGACTTGTATAAAATTACAAAATATCTATTTGTAGATATTCCACAAAGCTATGTGGCCTTCTTTGGATCCTGTGGCAAGAGTGTGGTCTAGAGCAAAACATACACATTGTACTGAATCTTTATGGTAACTCAGCACTGCTAAAGGGTTAAGTTTCTTGAGGCTGAACACACGACACATGTGGTCCCACCCACCAGTGGCCACAATTTTACCATCTCTTCTAATAGCTAAGGCATTAATTCCTGCATTTGGAAATGTCACTTTTTTATCTTCCTCAAACTTAAACTCTTTAATCCACCAGGATTTTATTTGATTTTCCACAGATCCAGTGACACACTTGATATATTTCTCATGGGCCCAACTGTCCATACCCATAATGCTATCTTCATGTGCTTTCACTTCACTCAACAGCTCAGTAGTTTTGAGGTTCCATAAACCCAAAACACCACTTTCATAACCCACAAACAAAACTGGTGTCAGGCAACTTGAAACAAGACTGCTTGTCCTCATGCACATCCCAAATCTTTTAGAATCCTTCGGTTGAAAGGAGTGTGGAGATGAGAGTGATTCAAACTCATGAGCATCTGAGAGATTTGTGAGTTTGTGTACTTTGATTTCAGCACAGGCATCACTTGGCACAGATAAAAAGTACTGATTGTTTGATAAACAAATTGAACTGTTGCAAAAAGTATATGGTGCACAGGGTATTACTCCTGAAAAATAAAAAGTAAGAAATCCTCATGCAGTCTAATTAACAAAAGATATTACATTACAAACACAAAATAAATGAAAATATGATTTATCTTAAAGAGATCCTTTTAAAGCGTACTTTCAAAACATTTTTATTGAATTAATCTGGTGTATAGATGGAATTAGCTTGGGAAAACCATGTTTACACTTCACTATTAAAACAATGATTTGTTACCTGCAGTTCTCCACTCTGTTTCTAAACATGACCAAAATTTGACTTCTCCATCTCTACCCTGGCTTATGATTACCTCCCCTATTTGTGTTAACCAAATGACAGATTCATTATGAGCCATCAAAACCTTTTCTGGTCGGAGAATAATGTTGTCCCACTTAATCACCTAAAATATAAACAGGCTTTTTAGATGAATTCAACTGTCTTAGTTCTAATTTAGTTCTTTTGTACCAAATTAAATTAAAATTAGACAAACATAAACTAGTTTTGACATTGAAGCAATGGTTTAGTGACACTTCCTAGGTTGCCTCTGTTAACAAAATAATTCTTTTAACTGAAAATTAAATTGAGAGTAGAGCTACAATTACCTGACCATTTTGGTGACCAGATATAATAGCTGGCGTATCACCTGATCCAAAAGTAAGACTTGTGACAGGACTTTTAGCTATCAACTCAATGGTAGGATCTGGTGGCGGTCTTCTTTCTCCATTTTTGGCATTCATTTTCTTTAGTGAATATACAATACAACATTAGGATAAGGGATAGAAAGATAATTTTTGGGTACCACTGACCATATAGCCTATAGTTAGAATGGCCTAATTTCAATAACTATTATACTTTTCTCTTATGGTAGGGGATAAAATAACTTGATCTAGATCTATATACATTTTTGGGTTTTTTATATGATAGATCTACATCTAAATATTTTTTTATTTAAATTGCCTAGTAGATAAAGGTCTTATAAATTTAATTTAAAAAATTATAAATTTATATTATAAAAATTGTCCCCTTTGCTATTATTCATTCTAAGGGACCAACACTAACAACAGAGCCATATTCAGTTTTCACGAAAAGTAGCCTTCGGTATTAAAAAAAAATATGGAAAGCATGTGGTAGGGCAATGTGAACCTAAAAATAAAAAAATAAAGTTCCATAAATAAAACATGTAGATTAATTCATCATCAAACGGAGATTTTAAAATTTTATTTTAATATATATTGTCGACTACCGTTGGCAAACTAGATCGGCCTGATTATAAAATGGGTCAAGTTAATATTTGAAATTATAGCTGTAGAACAGCTTTTACTTTGTTCATTATTAATAATTATCACTATTCAGAAAGTATACTGAATTACTTATAACATGAGGTTATCTGGATAGCTTGATAAATATATACAGATATAATGTAATATTGAGTAGGTCTAGAGCGTTTATTTTAGGCCTATGTAGTGTACGGTTTATGACGTCACCCGCCACAAGGGCACTTGTTGATGTTACTATTATTTTAGACTGGAGAACAGGCAATAGATCTATATGGAATATATTTTTAAATAATTTTAGTGTGTGCTGATATTTAGACTATTAAGAACATATTGATACCTTGATATTAACAGATAAATCAAATTACCAATAATAATAAACGGCACTATTTTACTAATCGTATAAATTTAATGGTTAAAATGATGGTACTTCGTCTAATTTGAAGGCGTAAAGGCAAAGCGCATTAATACAATCATATCGATGGGTGAAAGAAACTGGCAACTTGGGGTAAGAATGATAAATTCAAAAGTCAAGTCTTCATAATCACATTCTACTTTAACTATTATCAGTATCTTATTTCCATATTCTCAGTTGATTGTAGATCTATAACAAATTAAAATCTTAGGCTAACTGTAGTAAGAGACCGATGGGTCTGCGCAGTCGCAGACGAACTGTTGGAAAATAACTTGAATGGCCTCTCGCTTCGACAATTTACGTGGATGGAACAACGTGTTAGTAGATTGTATGTTATTTATGCTAGTGTTGTCTGTAGTAATAGATTAGCGATCCTCCATCCATATACGGCTTTGATATATTTAAATGGAAAATTCATATATAAACTATTATTCTTATGAGAGGTACGTCGTTTGACTTTCCATCCGATTCTATGAGGATGCTTTTCGCGCAAGCTCAAAGCGCAGTCGCAGATTGCATATTCTCAAATTCTGTGCCTGCGCAGTGGGAGTACTTTCGTTACTTTTGTTGACAATCGTTACGGAGTCTGCGAAATGATAACATGTTCGTTTACAAACGAAAATTAAAATTAAGGAAAACTGGTTATATATTTCACCCACAGCCTAAACAGCGAAGAAAGCCCATGAGGCACAATTATCAATATGGCGGCCAGAAACACGTCCGCCCGTCCTTCAACTTCAAAAGATGTCTTACTTAGTACTGTATCACCCGCTACACACAAAAAATAAAAAAATAAAACTCAAAAAGCAATCACAGTCATAGAATCTACTCTTACTTAGCCGATATACGGATATAATATCATCATACCATATATTCTACCCTTCTAGCTTTAGTTAGATCTATAGGCCTAGGTCTAAGTATAAGATCAATATTGGTCTTCTAAAAAATATTAAAATTGTAGGCCTGCTCTAAAAAAGAATGACATATTCTAGACTCTAGTAGTAAAGTCGCAAAATTAGTCTAGATTAAGATATACTAACTGTCCTGAGTTTATCAAATAAAATTTCAGAAAGATTAGGGAAGACCAACTCCAAGACAATAGTCTAATAGGCCTAATATTAATATACTATTATAATGGTCTGTTGCTATACAAATACATTTTAAAAAAAATCAATATCAATAGGCCTAGGCCTATATATAATATATAAATATTTTCATTGTGAGTGACACATAGGCCTATAATTAGACTATACTATGACAATACTATTAGCCTAGTAGGAGGCCTATAGTGAATATTTTCAAAATATAGTAGTTCTAGACCCAGTACTATGCTCATGCTGATACACTTTTTTTTACCACACCTCTAAGCATTTTATATATAAATCAAGATGACTTATCTCCACTGTACTGTATGTCATTTAGTTTATGAATAAACACTCATTTAGTTTATGAATTAACTAAACACGACTTATTTCCTCCCCAGTTTGTTATTAAATTTATCAATCAACAAAACTTATTTCCTCCTCAGTATGTCACAAATATATGTTTTCCTGTAAGTTGGAATTAAGAGAAACAATCTTTGACCATGATGAACTCTGGCCTTGGCAACGGTGTGCATGGGGGAATGGCAGGTGGGATAGCGCATATTAACCACAGTATGATGGAGGATGATCTAAGTGATGGACCATCCTCACCTGAAAGTGCATTTGATGCATCAGATTTGATGCACAGCTCTATGGCGGATGAAGTTACAGCTCAATTGGCAGCTGCAGGTTTGTTTTGACATTGATTATGGTGATTACATAAAGTACTATTTACTAAGTATAAATCTTTTTTTCTGGAGCAAGAAATGAGACTCAACATTTATTTTGCAGGACCAGTAGGCATAGCTGCTGCAGCTGCAATAGCAACTGGAAAGAAAAAAGGCCACCCCCACCAATTTGAAACAAATCCATCTCGTAGAAAAAGACAGCAAACTCGTTTGTTGAGGTGATTTTTGTTACATACACCATGAAACATTGGATTCATATAGGGATACATAATAATATAGTTGTATCGAAATAATGTTAGAACATTTTGAAAGGCAATATGAAAATGATCAGGTGCTGAATTGAAAATCTGGTGCTATTTGTTTTTATAAATGTGCTGTTATGTTTTAAGTTTAACTGGAAATGAATAAATTTATTAATTAATTTGATTCTTGTGTCTTCTTAGAAAACTGAAGAACACAATAGAGGAATACACAACGCGGGTCGGGCAGCAAGCTGTTGTTCTGTGTTGTACACCTGGAAGAACACCTGGGACTGCAAGTTCTTTGTATAAAGTGTTTGGGTCTCAGCCCCTGGAAAATGTGGTATGCTGATCGTTTTAACTTATCTGTAAAGTGGTACCTCGAGATACAAGTTTAATTCGTTCAGTAACATTGCTTGTATGTCAAATTGCTTGTATTTCAAAGCAATTTTTCTCCATTGAAATTAATTAAAATGGCAAGTTGTTTTTGTAAAGTGTATTTACCTGTGTAGGCACAATGTTAAGCTCTTTTGGTCTTTTTAATTCACTTACTCATCACACTCTTAAACTACACTTTATCCCTAAACTTAATGGAACTTAAACTTCACCTAACATATTTGAACCTAAATGTTACCATGTTTTGTTGCTTTCGACTAATGTCAGGGCACTTGGATGTCGAGGTACTACTTTATTTGTTTATGAAACACATTGACAAGTAATATCTAAGCTAATCATCATTTAAAGATGGATTTCCTTTAAGGCACAAAGTCATTAGCAGTATTAGTACAAACCTACTTCTAATGAATTAAAAAAATTTTTGCCAACAGATCAGAAATTGTCGAAGCATGGTAACCCAAGAACTGGAGAGTGCATTGCAAGAGCAAGCTGCACAGCATCAAGGCGACACCACACACCTTCATGAATTACCCCCTCTTGTCATTGATGGCATTCCTACACCAATTGACAAAATGACGCAGGTAGTTTACACATTAATCATTACCTAACTTTTCTCACATATGCAGGTAGTTTAAAGATCTTATACTACCAGTATTAAAATACCGTTTGGTGTTACTTGTTGTTACTATTTAAAAAGGAAACAATTTGAGATGGGAAACTTGTTATAATTATCATTAGGTCTATCTAATATTTGTTAGCACTATTTTTTCTATTGACTACAAGCTAGCCACCTCAACATTTCAGGATTAAAATTCTCACAAAATGGGATGGGGATGCGGTGGTTGGATTATGAACAAGATGACATTAAAACACACTGTTACTAAAGAGTTAAAATAAAAAGATTTTATGTAATTAAATAAATGCAACCAAAATTTTCTTTCCACTTCTAAAGGCACAGTTGCGCAATTTCATTCCTGAGATGTTAAAATATTCCACCTGTCGCAGCAAGCCTGGTTGGGGTAAACCTGAATGTAGACCTCCTTGGTGGCCAGCAGACCTTCCATGGGCAAATGTGCGGAGTGATGCAAGAACAGATAAGCGGGTTAGTAAATATTTCAGCTTAGTTCTGTTTTATTTTAATGATATTTGAAACATTTGTTTTCAAGCAGTATTTAATTAATTCATGTTCTTGCCATATGTATGATGTGGTACATCCCTCTTGTTTAGGTTTCTTGGACAGAAGCTCTCAGGACTATAGTTAAAGACTGCTACAAGCACCACGGCAGAGAGGATTTACTTCATGTTTTCAGTGAAGAATCCACAACCCCAAGTGTTCAAACCAATGCTCAATTTGCTGGGACTATGTTGCAAACAATCAACAACCCAGACGGAACTGTGTCAATCATACAGTTGGACACTGGGCCATCTGGCAATTCAGTTTTTACTCTGCCTGATGGCACCCAGGCAACTGTTGTCCATGCGGTTAGTGCTGGTCCTCATCATGTCAACATGACGGTATGGAACTCCCAACTCAAGTTAAGGAAACAACTCTCATTTCTTTTTATGTTTGTTCTATAGTTCTTGATTAACAATTAACTTTGCCCAATTAACAAGAAAATAATCTTCATTTGTAAATTTAGCAAAAGCATGTTCAGGAATGTTAAAGTTAAATAACTTCACTTTCCCAACAAAAAAAGCATGCAGGGGGGGGGGGGGGGGTCGGGGGGGATAAATCTTATCCTTATGTGTGAGTTGTTTTTAATATTTGGTCTAGTTTTTCTCTATCATAAAGCTTCTTTTACTAGGCGGCTGGGCATGGTGCTGACCACACAAACCCTTCATATGCCGAGGTCACAAAAACAGATGAACTCTACTTCATCTACCCTATGGACCGTGAGGTCTGAAAGGGTACTTTTTCTTAACTCTTTTCCTTTTACTGTTTGATAAATTCATTTTTCTTCCTTCTGAATGTTCTTCCTCAGTTTATTTTTTAATGGTGGGGCAACCTGTAGGTTTCTAGATTTGGCAGTCTTATGGGTTTTTGGGCAATCGTTCTTAATATTAAAGATTTTTTTCTCAGTAGCTATCTACAAAAGAATATTTGATCTATTTAGGTATATGATGCATTTTGAAAATGGACCTAAAATTAATCTGTAAATAAAGAAATCTTGTGACTCTAAACTATATTTTGCTTTTTTTTTTTTAAATTATGAAAAATGGTAGCAAATCTAGATGATCTTATTATAAAATAAGTTTATACTATGCCTCACAATAGATAAATCATGAATTTTTTAATGTTGTTATTGATTATTTCAGTGGGGTCCATTTTCATGAAGTGTGTTAGGTAAAATGTGTTAAATGAACACTTACTTGTGCAAAAAAAATGATCATCTGCTTTTTTTTTTTCTTTTATAGGAGGCAAGCCAGGCTGTGCAAACATTGGCTGAGGTAGCAGCCAATCAGCAGGAAGTGACCCCTGTCACACAGGTCAACAGTGTTGAGATGGCTGATGGTCACACAGCCATGCAAGCATTCACAACAGCCACATTCAATCAAAATGGCCAGCTTATATTATCAGGAGATGGATCCCTTGGGGCTTTACAGGGTAAGACATGATTTACATTGTTTTAAATTACTCTTGTTAGCTTTTGCTGATGCAGTAACATTGAGTAGCTATCTGGCTGTATCAAGTCTCACATAAGTAAAGTTACCTTTCAAACCTGACAATATCTATGGGGCAAGTGAAGTAGAGATCAACTATTTCTGTGACTTTGGCATATGAAAAGATAATGTGGTCAGCACTATACCCAGCCAACTTTACTTTCCCTAAAGTGAGTTAGGTACCCATCAGAGCTGGGTGGACTCAGGGACGTTATACCTCCTTGAACCTGGAATTGGAACCTCTCATAAGGCTTACGCCAAAAGTCATTTGTTGTATTAATCTAAAAAATATGTGGTCTGGTAAGTACAGAGGTGTCCAGATAATGTCCATGACAAGTTGTATGTGATGTCTATGTTGAGATAGTATATGTCAGCACTGAGGTTTAGACAATCAACATACAAAGATTGTATTGTACAAGCCTCAAGAAACACAGCATAGAAATTTGATTTTGAATGACTTGGCTCTGTCTGAATAGATTATGACTTTCTTTTACAGGCATCGTCACCATTCCAGCATCCATGTACCAACAAATGACTGGGTTGACTTTACCAGAGTCAGCACAGCAGGTGAGTCAGTTCAAGTAATTTTTTGGTTACCTGTGCTTTTAAAAATTGTGATTTTTTATTATTTTAAATGTAGCCTCATGAGCAGGGAAGAGTTTTTCTCTTCATTCATAGTATTATCTCTGAAATTTGTGTAGGTAACTATGGCAAGCGTTGGGAATTTAAAAACAGAAATCTCAGAAGTTTTACATGGAGTAGAAGTCACAAGCAGTGATGGTCATCTCAAAACAGAAATAGAAGTCTTACAAGGAGTGGATCATCAGCAGCTATCATGATATCTAGCCGACTTTTGACATGTGTACAGCAACTGTCTTGATTGATAGCCCCTTACTGACATTTCTCTAGCCAATTCTTCCATTTGCAACCACTCAGGCCTCTAGAGACCCAGTGATCTCCACTTCATCAAAGCTTGCAGTCCTTTGGCATTTTAATGGCTGCATTTGTGATAATTTTTTAAAATTTTTAACATGTTTGTGGCTAATTTGGTGTAAATGATTTTTTTGTACAATTGTTAATATGTCACATTAAATTTAAATTGAAAAAAAAAAAAACAAATTGTGAAGTACATTGCTAAGTTAATTTTATTTGACTGTTTCATATCAGATAATTACATGTCCCTTTCACACATGACCAGCAGTTTATCTGCTCATAAGATGGAGATCTAGAACAAGGTGGAATGAATGGACTCACCCCATTAAATGCCATCAACCACAAATTGAAGTTGGTACATCCATTCATACAAAAAAAGAACAATAAATGCAAGAACTTTGACAGTGACTACACTATGCACAGCTCTTAATGAAAAGCTTTGTGCAAAGGTTACCACTATACATTCATCTGAGGCAACCAAAAATCGGGTGGACCTTGATTTGACAAAATGGACCCCCTCCTAAGTACTGGGTGACCAGCTGATATATTAAAAAGACAACACAAAGATGAACCAAACCCATGAAAATCAAATGGAAGAGTTGAGTGATGTCGACCAGAGAATGTACACAAATGTCTGGAGTAATATATGATATGATGATCTTGTCACTAACTACAACTGACTGGACAAAAACAATCTTGGGTATATTAGTCATGTCGTAGCAAATAAAAAGTTGTGCATAATTTATACATCACAGATTCAGTTTGACACTGTCAGAACTGCAGTTGTTGAACTAGATGACAAAATACATTAGCAATATTATTGGAAGGTCAGCCATTGGTGTCAATGTTCATCTCTTGAGTCACCTCTTATGTTTATGATATAAATATTTAATGATAATATTTTAATATACCATTTGTATAAACAATTTAAGAAAAAATGATTTACTTAATTAATACAATGTCACTTAAAAAACTTGATTGTTGGCCACCCACAGAACAATATTAATTTGTCAAAGTTACAATTCCACAAACAAGTAAATTAAATGAGGCTATAAATCTAGGACAATTTTCACATGATGAAGATGAAGGTGGCAGGAATGATGGGTGAGAAGACAAGGCATCATCTAGAGTCTACTGTCTACGTGATCAGTACCTGGGGATTGAGTTCAATAGCTTGAATCAATACACAATAGAAATACATATCTAAACTTGTACAGTTGTCAGGCCATAGCAGCTCTGCTATACCCTGACACACATACTAACCAATCTAAACAACATGTGCTATACCCTGATAGTACACACATTCTAACCAATACAAACGTGCTATAACCTGACACACATACCAATCCAAACAACATATGCAGCTGTGCTATACCCTGACACACATACTTACCAATCAATATCATTATCAGCCTGTGCAGCCCATTACTGGTTAAAATCTAATTTTAAAAATAAATGTTCCTCACCTGTAATAGTTAGGTTTAAATGGTCCAGCTTTATTTAGACCAAGGTATTTGGCTTGGTCATCTGTCAGCTCTGTCAGATGTGCATCAAAAGTGGGCAGGTGCAGGCTAGCTACATACTCATCTGGTAATAAAAGGAGGATGGACTTTTACAATGTGAGTTGGGACAGTGTTACTTTGATGGAGTGAGCATATAGCCTGACTTTACATGGGATTTAAAGAAAATAAAACCAGCACTGAATTTCTTCAATTATAATTCATGCAATATAATAAATGCTCTGTAAAAACCAACATAAAAGTGGTTCAGTTTGCGTTCTAAGCACAAATCCAAATTTACCCCCCCCCCCCTCCCAACTACATCTGATGGAACTTGGAAGTGTATGAAGGTAAAAGTCTCTACAGACTGAGCACCACATGTGAGATATTTGACAAGAGCAAGACAGGGTGTAGGGGAAACAACTCACCCATTTTTTTAGGCAGCAGGTAAACATCTTGTTTGTAGCGGCCTCCTGGTGCATTGAAGAGTTCAATGAGGGCAAGAGCCTGCAACCAATAACATGATTTTTGAGAAAGTAATTAAAATGTTTACACTTCCTCCATTACTGTCAGGATGCAGAGTTTACAATTTTACTTTTTCTTCTTCCAAACTTGCTGATGTATGGTCAAATATACAGAGGTTTTAAAACAAATCTACAAGTGTATTAAGGTTTTAAAAGAATATTTCTGTGAATGAACTTACAATAAACTTACTAGTTCCACAAACTACAAGACACTTACTAGTTCCACAAACTACAAGAAACTTTACAAACCTGGGTTGTTGCTGTTATAGACACAACAAAAGATGGCACAGAGGAGCAGCTTAAATTCACCAGGCGACCCTGATAAACAAAACACAGAGGTTCAAGTCAGAGTTAAGGATTCAAAGGAATATTTTTTGTTGTAACCTTAGAGAAAATAATTTCTGATTAACAACAACTAACTCAGTTACAATACCTCAGCCAACAGGATAATCCTCTTGCCATCAGGCCAGATTATATGATCCACCTGTGACCTGACCTTCTCCCAGGTCAACTCAGGTGTGCGCAGGCTAGCCTAGGTAAACACATCAACAACACAATTTTAAAATTTTATATTCAATAAAACACAACTGTTATGACATTTTAATTAGAACATTTTGTTTATGTTTGATAAAATAATAAACCCATTTAAACATAAACATTCAATATTTATTTATTAATTTCTTTTTTTTAAGTTTGTAAACAAGATTAGGTTGTTTACAGTTTAGGCCAGTGTGATCCAAGTCTCAACTTGGGCTGAATTTTTAAATATGTAACAAAGGACAATAAAGTTTGAAGAAAACTGGAGCAATAAAAACCAGTTAGTACTGACCACATCTATCTCTGTGTTGGAGTGACCCATGTTACACACAATGCAACCGTTCTTTAGTCTATCCAAGTGGCTGCGCATCACAACATTTTTATTCCCAGTGCAGGTAATCAGGACGTCTATATTGCGCACCACTTCATCCAGCTTCACAACACGGAAACCATCCATGCTGGGGAGACAAAACATTCTTACTTAAACATCACAAACTAGCTAAAGACATCACAGGCTAACTTGAAAACATCACAAACAGCTAAAGACATCACAAGCTAATGTAAAAGATTAAAACTCCAGTCAAGTTGACTTTTTCAGTCAAGATGATTTACCATACTTAGAGCTGAAGTCAAGATGACTTACCATGCTTGTAAAGCACATATTGGATCAATCTCTGTCACACTGACTATAGCTCCAAGTCCCTTCAGTGCTTGACTGCATCCCTTGCCAACCTGTCAACCAAATTTAGGTGTTTTTATCCCAGGCTAACAACACACAATCAGAATACATAATTCTCATCCAGGTCTAGTTGGCAACTTTAGAACTTGTGACCTGGTACAAATCTCACCAAATCCACATGTGACCTGGTACAAATCTCACCAAATCCACATGTGACCTAGTACAAATCTCACCAAATCCACATGTGACCTAGTACAAATCTCACCAAATCCACATGTGACCTGGTACAAATCTCACCAAATCCACATGTGACCTGGTACAAATCTCACCAAATCCACATGTGACCTGGTACAAATCTTACCTCACCAAATCCACAGATTAGAACTTGCTTGCCACCAAACATAACATCAGTTGTTCTTTTCAACCTGAAACATTTTAACAGGGCGGCAGGTTAAGTTAAATATAAATTAATTATAAAAGAAACTCACTGTACTTGATTGTATAGGGGCAAGTATTGTAACATTGATAAAAAATGTAAATAGTTTTACACCTTCCTGATAGTGGAAAAACCCTGTTTTGCTATTTTGTCGGTATGTGTGTCTGTGTGAGCACAATAACTTAAGTATGTCTATAGTATCAGTTAGGTTAATAAAATTTCTTAATTTGAACCATTACTAATAATCAGAAGCAGAATTTTATTTCTTGTATCTTAATAATGAACATATTTGTAAGTTGAGGGAAAATTTAAAAGTTATTGGTGTTGTTGGCATTTAGTGTTTAATTTTTAATGTAATAACAGAGAGGAATTGTGTGCAACTTACGCATCCAGGATGGACTCCCTACAGCTATACAAGTTGTCAAACTTGGTCTGAAAATAACAAAACATAATTGCACATAAACTTCAGTAGAGAGAAGTTCTATATCAAAATATTTACACTTATTCCAAACTTAACGCTAAAACACTTTTATAGGATACACTTTAACACTATTTTTTTTTCAAAACAATTCTAAATAAAAACATCCAAAATGGGTGAGCAAAAATGCTGAGTTACCTTAGTAACGGAATCATTGACATTCATGGCTGGCACCGTGAGCTTGCCAGATTTTGACAGCTGGTACAGCCTGTGGACGCCTGTCACACTCTCCTCAACGATGCCTTTGACCATGTTAAACATGGCAGGATATTTCTTCAATAGCCAGTGGGTGGCATCTCCTCCATCGTCTAATATCTGAACATTACGTCAAGTATTGGTTAAAACATATTAAATATCTGAACATTACATCAAGTATTTGTTAAAACATATTAAATACCTGAACATTACATGTCAAATACTACTTAAATATAAATATTACTTTCATATCAAGTATTCTAGTACAATCTTATTTTTATATTATATAATTTTTAGATGATAAAAAGGTGAAAAGAAAACATTAACTTTAAAATATCAAGTTGCAACAGAAAAAAACACTTTTATATGTGCGTGTGTAGGTATGCCCTGACTGCCCCACTCATGTCTGCCCACTCCACCCACCATGTTTGACCCACCCACCCACCATGTCTGACTGCCCCACCCACCATGTTTGGCTGCCAACCCCACCCACCCACCATGTCTGACTGCCCCACCCACCCATCATGTCTGACCGCCCCACCCACCATGTTTGGCTGCCAACCCCACCCACCCATATCTGACTGCCCCACCCACCCACCCACCCATATCTGACTGCCCCACCCACCCACCCACCCCTGACTGCCCCACCCACCCATGTCTGGCCGCCCCACCCACCCATATCTGACTGCCCCACCCACCATGTTTGGCTGCCATCCCTCAGCATTGATACACTTATCAATACACCACCAGAAGTCCTCCTCTGTCTCACCCTTCCAGGCATAGATAGGGAAACCTGACTCTGCCAGGGCGGCGGCTACTTCATTCTGTAACAAGAGTCATGCAGGGAGTCACTAGACAGGCTCATAAACATTCTTCACATATACCAGTCTCAAATAATTATAAACAACATATACTCATCACATCATCCTCAAATAATTCAAATAATTACAACTTTCACATATCACATACACTTATCACATCGTTCTCAAATAATTCAAATAATTATAAACTACTTTCATGTAACACCTACACTCTCACTTCACTAAAATAATAAAATTATACAGACTCATCCTGCATTCAAATAACCGGCTAAAGTAATGCTAAAAATTATCATTTGTTGCTTGTATACTAATGAAATCCAGACACAACTCAAATGAAAACCTTTTAACATTGAAGTAAATTTGTAAAAAAATTATCATTTGTTGCTTGTATACTAATCAAATCCAGACACAACTCAAATAAAAACCTTTTTATTGAAGGAGATACCTGAGTGGAGTAAATATTACAAGCAGACCAGCGGATGGAGGCGCCCAGTGCAGCTAGGGTTTCCACCAGCACCTGAATAGACACAAAAAACATCAGCAACTGTAGGGCATTACAAGACATTTTTCTTACTAGCAATCATCTTCACACTTCTACAAGCATTTACTTCAATGTGTGTGTGTGTGTGTATGTGGGTTTGTAGTCAAATTGGGTTAAGTATCAGCTTAAAAACTACTGAAAAGCTTAATTATTGTTTAACTTACAATTTTTTTTAAAAATTTTTAGACAATTAAAAGTTGACAATAGAAAACATAACAAAAAGTGTAGGTTGCTCAAGAAATCTCTGAGCACAATTTAGAGATCATAACTTTTATAATATCAAAAGAAGAAAAGTTTATTTTCTTAATTTTAGTTTTATAATACATTTTTAGTATCTTTAAAACTTGCACGAGGTTTGACTGTAAATTTTCTTTTAATAATCTTTTAATTAAAAGGTATTTTAAAATGGAATCATTAATCATTTCAACATGAGTGATCAGATGACACCTTAATCTTACAACAACAGTTGGGTTAGTTGGCACTGATTGACTAGTCATGTTAACAATACTAAAGATTGTTTAGAACAACAACAAAAACATGTTTGAAATCAAGAAAAATTTAAAAACAGGAGAATAATGATTGATAAGAGCAGAGCAACCACATAATGAAATTATTTACAGTGGAAAAATCAAGAATAGACAGAAGGTAATCTACGGCGTAAAGACAGAAGAAACAATCAAGAACAGACAGAAGGTAAGCAACTGGGTAAAGACAGAAGAAACAATCAAGAACAGACAGAAAAAAACAAACAGAGAAACCAAAACTACAGAGGAGAAAAAACAAAACTTAACAGAAAGGAATCAAGACAACCTAGGCAAACTAGGCAAGAAACCAGAGAGACAGCAGTTCAAGAGAAATAATTAAGACAACCCAGAAAGACTAGGCAAGATACCAGAGACTGGGCAAGAATTGATAGAGCCAGCAGGCCACCAAAAGGGCCACATGTGACTTACGGCAGTCTGAGCTGTAATGTGTGTGCAGCCAATGATCTTGGCCCCCTGTAGAGGCTTGTCTGCCTCAGCTCTCCGTCTTAGTGCCATCAGGCCAGGCATCTCTACATTACACAAGTTAGATATAGCTTGATCAGATTTAACCTAGCTTCACTGATAGCAGTTCAACATGGCTTGACATAATTTAACTAAGTTTGACAAAACTTAATACACAACAAAGATTGTATGAATTATATAGATACAACCTCCCCCCAATGTCACAGTCAGTTATTGCCCCTAATCAAACAGCTGGGTGCTGTCCATTACCTTGTTCAGCTATCTCAATTTCTCTCCTACCAAAAGCAGCATGGTCAATGTTCTTAACACAGAAGTCAGTGAAGCCCTTGGAGTTTTTCTGTAGATACATTACATAGGGATAGTATCAATACTTTGTCAGACCGTCAATGAAAATAAGGTTAATAAAAGCTTGTAAAAAGACAATTTTTAAATATTCCAAAACATCAGACTTCTACACAATCACCCCCCCCCCCCTCCCCAGTTACAAGACCTAATGACTACCCCCCTACTGTTACATCTTACAACAACTGACCACCACCCCTACATGTTACAACAACTGACCACCACCTCCCCACTGTTACAACTGACCACCACCCCATTGTTATATGTTACAACAACTGACCACCACAACCCCACTGTTAGATGTTACAACAACTGACAACCATCACCCCACTGTTACATGTTACAACAACTGACCACCCCACTGTTACAACAACTGACCACCCCACTGTTACAACAACTGACCACCCCACTGTTACATGTTACAACAACTGACCACCACCACCCCACTTTTACATGTTACAACAACTGACAACCATCACCCCACTGTTACATGTTACAACAACTGACAACCATCACCCCACTGTTACATGTTACAACAACTGACAACCATCACCCCACTGTTACATGTTACAACAACTGACCACCCCACTGTTACAACAACTGACCACCCCACTGTTACATGTTACAACAACTGACCACCACCACCCCACTTTTACATGTTACAACAACTGACAACCATCACCCCATTGTTACATGTTACAACAACTGACCACCACCACCACCACCCCACTGTTACAACAACTGACCACCACCACCCCACTTTTACAACAACTGACCAACACCACCACCCCACTGTTACATGTTACAACAACTGACCACCACCACCCCATTGTTACATGTTACAACAACTGACCACCACCACCACCCCACTGTTACATGTTACAACTGACCACCACCACCACCCCACTGTTACAAAGACTATTGACCATCTCTATTGATTGCTCCCCCCCACCCCCCTGCCAGCGACAAGCCCCACTCACCTGGGCCTTTTCCCTGGGGCTGATATCATCTTCATCGGATGAGCTGCCAGTGTAGGAGGCTGCAAACAGAAAACACAGACTCTAAGGTACAATTTAAACGGCTGCAAACAGAAAATACAGACTCTAAGGTACAATTTAAACGGCTGCAAACAGAAAACACAGACTCTAAGGTACAATTTAAACGGCTGCAAACAGAAAATACAGACTCTATAATGTACAATTTAAACACACCTGTTGTAAAGTCGGAAATTTTAAACACACCCCAACAAACACAACGCCTGGGAAACAACGTCAGCAAGTTTTATTGCCACTGTCAACACGTGACCTTCTCAACCCCATGTTTAGCTCTAGCCCTAGGCCCTCAATGTTTTAGCCTTATTGTAGGCTGGTTATTCAACGCTTTTCAATATATTTTCCCCCTAACATTTTCCCCTAGCCTATACATTTTGTACGCCCAGCTTTTATGTGTTTCACTTAAACATGTAGGCCTATGTTATTTTGTGACATTTCCACTTCAATGTTGTCTAGCCACTAAAAACATGAACGTAAATAAGTAACGAACTACCAGCAAATCTAACGACTGTGAGCTGTTCTCTCCCCTCTACAGTAAGGGTAGATAAACGGTGGTAGGGCGGAAGTTTTCACAACAGTCAAGGTCGTAAAATTTGATCTATTATGCACAAGGTCATGCTAGGGTTAAAGGTTACGCAGGTAGAGGCAGAGGTGATGTGTATATTTACTTTATGAAGAAATTATCAGGATACACCAGATTAAGGTTTACAGTAGACATGTGCAAGCTACACTGTAGGGATACGTGTGTTAGCAAAGTTGCTACATGAACGTATCAGGATACACCAGATTAAGGTTTACAGTAGATATGTGCTAGCTACAATTTGCCGGATACGTGTGTTAGCAAAGTTGCTATATGAAGAGATTTTCAGGATCCACCAGATTAAGGTTTACAGTAGGCGTGTTGCTCCACTGTGGTGGTGTACTAGTCTAGCAATGTTGCTGCTACATGAAGAAATTGAGTCCATACAAAAACAACAACGAGGCTACATAAAGCGACATGCGAATAATGAAACAACGCAGTCCCAATGTAACTGATACATGAATAGAAGCCTGCTTGAAGCCATTGTTGTACAAGCTACAGGACACGTAAGGTTGCTGCAATGGGCACCTCACGATGTGTGAGACTATAATGTGCACCTATGTAAGGAGGGTGACACTAATAATGTGGGGAAGGGTGAGACCAGTAGCGTAGCGAGGGGGGGGACACACACATATGTCCCCGGGCGCCGACCTTAGGGGGTGCCCAAATGGGTTGGAAAAATAAATTGAAAGGTTGAGGGGGGGGGTGCAAATCGAAAGTTTGAGGGGGGGTGCAAATGGAAATCTCGAGGGGGGGGGGTTTGCAAATCGAAATCTCGAGGGGGGGGGGGGGGGGTCGCAAATCGAAATGTTTGTCCCCGGGCGCCGGGAAGGGTCGCTACGCCTCTGGGTGAGACTATAACGTGTACCTATGTGGGGAGGGTGAGACTATGTGGGGAGGGGAGATTACAGGAGGTAGTGAGGTAAAATTGGACGTCAAGCTTAAGACTCCTTCAAGCAGAGAACAGACCGTCTTTGACATTATCCTCCCAGCATGCATGTGATCCCCCTATTTACAAACTAGAATTGCGTTCACCTGCCTGGCCAGCTCTCTCTATTCTAAATCATTTGTTGCGGCTTTCTTATATTCATACACTTCATGGCTGACTGGAGAACCGGAAATCAACCAGACTTTACAGAGGGAATCAGCTACTTACTTTACTTACAGAATCAACATAACAGACTTTACTTACAGAGGGAATCAGCCACATACTCAACTTACAGAGGGAATCAACATGACAGACTGTACTTACAGAGGGAATCAACCACAGACTTTACTTAGGGAGTCAGCCAGACTTTACAGTGTGAATCTCCCAGACAGACTCTACTTACAGAGCGAATCAGCAGACATACTTTACTTATAGGGGGAATCAACATGACAGACTGTACTTAGGGAATGAGCCAGACTACTTAAGGAATGCGCTAGACTTTACAGTGTGAATCTCCCAGACTACTTACAGAGGGAATCAGCCGTGCCGGTGCTAACGGTACTGGACCTCCTGTCCAGGTTGAGCAGCTGTTTTTTGTCCAGCTGGACACTGTGCCGCTTCCTCCCCGCCCTGGCCCGGTAGGCCTCGTCCCCGCTCTCGTCCAGCGAGCTGTTCATCTTCTCGGAGTCATGAAACTTGTCAAAGTTCTCCGCCGAGCTCGGCTTGAAGCTCAGCAGTTTTTTGGCCAACATTTTTTTCCTTTTCTTTCAACTAAAAGTTTGATAGCTGGCATGTGCTACCAGATGACCACACAAACTACAGACAGACAAAATCACATGAGCCCGTGCACACGGCGCCACATTCAACACACGGCCGTCTGCCACGGCCGCGCCAAAACTTGGCTCCACGTCAAGACAACAACCAATTATTTCCTAAGAACAGCGGACATTTATATAATAACAATGGGAGGGGGGAACCAAACAAAGGGAAATCATTGAGGATAAGGAACAATAACTTTCCAATCTTACATGAAAAAAAATGACGTGCCAAAATAGGCGAAAGCAAGATGTCTCTAGACGGCTAGGTCAGTGGGAAACTTGACAGATCCCAAAGTGGACGGTCAATCGTGACAGATCCCTAAGTGGACGGTCAATCGTGACAGATCCCTAAGTGGACGGTCAATCGTGACAGATCCCTAATCAAAGGGGACGGTCAATCGTGACAGATCCCTAATCTAAGTGGACAGTCAATCGTGACAGATCCCTAATCAAAGTGGTCGGTCAATCGTGACAGATCCCTAAGTGGACGGTCAATCGTGACAGATCCCTAATCAAAGGGGACGGTCAATCGTGACAGATCCCTAAGTGGACGGTCAATCGTGACAGATCCCTAATCAAAGGGGACGGTCAATCGTGACAGATCCCTAATCTAAGTGGACAGTCAATCGTGACAGATCCCTAATCAAAGTGGTCGGTCAATCGTGACAGATCCCTAATCTAAGTGGACGGTCAATTGTGACAGATCCCTAATCAAAGTGGACGGTCAATTGTGACAGATCCCTAATCAAAGTGGTCGGTCAATCGTGACAGATCCCTAATCAAAGGGGACGGTCAATCGTGACAGATCCCTAATCTAAGTGGACAGTCAATCGTGACAGATCCCTAATCGAAGTGGATGGTCAATCGTGACAGATCCCTAATCTAAGTGGAAGGTCAATCGTGACAGATCCCTAATCTAAGGGGACGGTCAATCGTGACAGATCCCTTATCAAAGGGGACGGTCAATCGTGACAGATCCCTAAGTGGACGGTCAATCGTGACAGATCCCTAATCAAAAGGGACGGTCAATCGTGACAGATCCCTAAGTGGACGGTCAATCGTGACAGATCCCTAATCGAAGAGGACGGTCAATCGTGACAGATCCCTAATCTTAGTGGACGGTCAATCGTGACAGATCCCTAAACGTTACATCAAGGTCAAACGTGACAGATTCCTAATCAAAGTGGACGGTCAAACGTGACAGATTCCTAATCTAAGTGGACGGTCAACCGTGACAGATCCCTAATCTTAGTGGACGGTCAAACGTGACAGATCCCTAATCTTAGTGGACGGCCAATCGTGATAAATTACTAAACATTATATCAAGGACAAACGTAAAAGATCCCTAAACGTTATATAACAGATCCCTTATTGATATGTGACGTCATTCTTGACAGCTCTGGTTCAGCGTATGTCGGCTATGTATGTCAGAAAATGACAACTGCCTGAATGTCAAGATAAGCCTTGACATCTGACCATGACAGGCCTGTATGAGACAACTGGCCACGTGACACCCGTAACAATCGTGCTGTAGACAATAGCCACAATAGCCATACGAACACGCGTTCAATCAATACACCAGCACAGTCATAAGGCAAGACTTAATTAAACCATGGTTCAGGTTTATCATCTAGTAGTTCAGCACTTAAGAACAGCCCCACACAAAGCGCCTTAGAATTAAATAGTACTGAACATTATTTCTCTTTAAGGAGGCGGGGTATATTCTGTTATTAGACAGTAAGCCACTGTATTACTGCACCAGTAAGCTAATATATTACTGCACCAGTAAGCTAATATATTACTGCACCAGTAAGCTGATATATTACTGCAGAAGTAAGCAACTATTACTGCAACAGTAAGTCAGTATATTATTGTAATACTATGTTACTGCAACAGTAAGTCACTATGTTACTGCAAAATTGTGTTACTGCAACAGTAAGTCATTGTGTTACTTCAGCATGACAATATGTCCTTATATTACTGCAACAGTAACTCGCTATACTACTGCAACAATAGATTATCTTTACTGCAATAGCATATCACTATATTACTGCAATAGTAGGTCACTATATCACTGCAATAGTAGGTCTCTATATCACTGAAATAGCATATCACTATATCACTGCAATAGTAGGTCACTATATCACTGAAATAGTAGGTCACAATATTACTACAACAGTATAACGCTATATTACTACAACAGTATATCGCTATATTACTGAAATAGTAGGTCACTATATTACTACAACAGTATACCGCTACATTACTGTAAGAATATCCAGGTACTTATTTAAATCCCAGGAAGTCAACACATGAAACGTTTGTCGTCACCAATTCCGTTAGATGGACCAGTGAACACAAACAGGCCTTATGGCACCACCAGCTCCGTTAGCAGAAGATGTAACCCGCACGGTCAAGGATGGCACGTGGCAGACGCCGATGACTCGAGTAAAAAAAAAACACACAACATACGACACGGGCTGGACTACTAAACGCCACACTGGTGCGTGTCCATTGAACTATGGGCCTATGTGTGAACTAGGGCAACGCTATCGGGGTGTTGAAAGCCAAGGAACTGCACGCTTCGTTGACACCACAGTAACCAGCGAATACCCGACCCACTGTGGGAGAAGTGGGTAGATCACGTGCAATCACGTCTGCAATGTATTTTTTAGTTTATTTATTTACATATTTAGGCCGCCTGAGGGCTCTTGTCCCCACGTAACGAATCAAACAGTAAACTGCGCGCCATTGGTTGATGAGTAACTATCCAGGTCATGTGATCTGTTGACATGAAAACAACGGAAGTTTTGCCGGGTTGATTGGGCTTGCAGAAAAACGAAAGCGTGACGTCACCACGTGTTCTAAAATTACCACACTAGTCGAGTTATTATTGACCTAAAAAATAAGTTTACTGGAGAAATTTGGCCGAAGTCTCCACTTGACTGAAGTGTAAAACTTGTGCAACAAAAGGCTGCAACTTGAGTTGTGTACGCCGTATCACGTGACACTGCTAAAAATACACTCAGTGTGAAACTACTGAGCCTTACGGTGTGGCCTACACGCGGTGTGTGTGAGCCGACTGGCTCTAACAAAAGGACGTCACCCCAACACCACCAGCTTATCAAACAGCGCTGTCTGTGTTTCCTGTACCAGCCTACAGCCAGTGGAATATAAAAAAATAAAAATAAACAGCACGGCTAACACAACCTGGCTGGGTGTACGGTGGGGGATTTAATCGATCCAGTTCAAAACGTTTTCAATGGGCTATAAATAGCCATCTAACAGGTCACAGGAGGTCAAAGGTGAGTGTGATGGAGGGGGGATGAGGAAGTACTAGGACAGTATACCAACCCTCCCGATGCTGATGAATAAGCTTTAGGCCAATAGTAAAACGACGATAGACAGACAACCTGTGTTGTTGTATATGGGCCAGCGGCATGGGCCTCTCCCATCACTGATAAACCACCAGACGAATGTACGTGTGGCGCCTGTCAGCAGGCACCTGTTGGCAGGCACTCAAGATAACCCCCCCCCCCTGCTGGCCGGGTTCCAGAGCCTACAGGTACACACCACACCTAGGGTAACGGTCACTCGATCGATCACTGGAACACAGGCCAGTACTAGACACACGAATCCAATCAGAATCAGAAATCAATACCAGATCAATAACAAGAAATCGATCCAAGCACAGTGTAAGAAGCAGACAACACGGGTAATGCTGACCACGGTGACCAGCTAACGAGAGCAGCACGCTCTCCTACACAGGGCCAACACGGAGAAAACAATGTCTTGTACCAGTAGACGAGAGTACCAGCGGCAAAAACAGGAAGGCTATCTTTAGAACGTCCTCCTCCCGAGCCGCATCAAGGGCGAACACGACCAGCGCTGCCGGGCCGAATGGGAGCTCTAGCAGACGATCGATTGGAGAGGGGCGAGTGCAGCATGGGCACTAGGTATGTCAGGGGCTAGCTTTTGGGGGGTGTGGGGCTAGATTAAGGGGTGTGTGGGGCTAGCTTTAGTGGTGTGTGGGGCTAGCTTTTGGGGGATGTGGGGCTAGATTTAGGGGTATGTGGGGCTAGATTTAGGGGTGTGTGGGGCTAGCTTTAGTGGTGTGTGGGGTTAGCCGTAGGGTGTGAGGGGCTAGCTTTATGGGTGTGTGGGGCTAGCTTTTGGAGTGTGAGGGGCTAGCTTTATGGGTGTGTGGTGCTAGCTTTTGGGATGTGTGGGGTTAGCCGTAGGGTGTGTGGGGCTAGCAGTAGGGTGTGTGGGGCTAGCAGTAGGGTGTGTGGGGCTAGCTTTATGGGTGTGTGGGGTTAGCAGTAGAGTGTGTGAGGCTAACAGTAGGGTGTGTGGGGCCAGCAGTAAGGTGTGTGTGAGGCTATCTGGAATGTGTGTGAGGCTATCTGGGATGTGTGTGAGGCTATCTAGAATGTGCGGCCGTGGTGTGCAGGAGTCTATTGATTGTATCTGTTGTGTGGACCCCAATGATTGGCTGTGAGGTGGTAGGTTTAATGGACTAAGTAGCTTTGAGAGAGCTTTGATAACTGAGCCAATCGATGGCCAGGAACGGGCCACTCAATGTTTATCTCATCGTATTTAGTTGGCCGTGATAGGCTGTCTGATAGACGACTGCAATCATCCTAGTTAGTCGTCTGCGTAACGTAATGATAACGTACATACCAATTAGGGCTTATTACAGACTAAGTTTGTCCTAATTAGGTCGATTAACTAAGTGCAAGGTTGTCGATATCAGTTGAACTAAATCAGTGCAATAGTGAGCTATGTTAAACTGTGACAATGTTATAGTGGGCTATGATAAACTGTGACAGTGTAATAGTGAGCTATGATAAACTGTGACAGTGTAATAGTGGGCTATGATAAACTGTGACAGTGTAATAGTGGGCTATGATAAACTGTGACATCAAATGTAATAGTGGGCTATGATAAACTGTGACAATGTAATAGTGGGCTATGATAAACTGTGACATCAAATGTAATAGTGGGCTATGATAAACTGTGACAATGTAATAGTGGGCTATGATAAACTGTGACATCAAATGTAATAGTGGGCTATGATAAACTGTGACAATGTAATAGTGGGCTATGATAAACTGTGACATCAAATGTAATAGTGGGCTATGATAAACTGTGACAGTGTATTAGTGGGCTATGATAAACTGTGACCGTGTAATAGTGGGCTATGATAAACTGACATCAAATGTAATAGTGGGCTATGATAAACTGTGACATCAAATGTAATAGTGGGCTATGATAAACTGTGACAGTGTAATAGTGGGCTATGATAAACTGTGACATCAAATGTAATAGTGGGCTATGATAAACTGTGACAATGTAATAGTGGGCTATGATAAACTGTGACATCAAATGTAATAGTGGGCTATGATAAACTGTGACAATGTAATAGTGGGCTATGATAAACTGACATAAAATGTAATAGTGGGCTATGATAAACTGTGACAGTGTATTAGTGTGCTATGATAAACTGACATCAAATGTAATAGTGGGCTATGATAAACTGTGACATCAAATGTAATAGTGGGCTATGATAAACTGTGACATCAAATGTAATAGTGGGCTATGATAAACTGTGACCGTGTAATAGTGGGCTATGATAAACTGTGACATCAAATGTAATAGTGGGCTATGATAAACTGTGACATCAAATGTAATAGTGGGCTATGATAAACTGTGACATCAAATGTAATAGTGGGCTATGATAAACTGACAGTGTAAACTATGACATCAAATGTAATAGTGTGCTATGATAAACTGTGACAGTGTGATAGTGGGCTATGATAAACTGTGACACCAAATGTAATAGTGGGCTATGATAAACTGTGACATCAAAAGTAATAGTGGGCTATGATAAACTGTGACAGTGTAAACTATGACATCAAATGTAATAGTGGGCTATGATAAACTGTGACATCAAATGTAATAGTGGGCAATGATAAACTGACATCAAATGTAATAGTGGGCTATGATAAACTGTGACATCAAATGTAATAGTGGGCTATGATAAACTGACAGTGTAAACTATGACATCAAATGTAATAGTGTGCTATGATAAACTGTGACAGTGTGATAGTGGGCTATGATAAACTGTGATAGTGTAATAGTGGGCTATGATAAACTGTGACAGTGTAATAGTGGGCTATGATAAACTGTGACAGTATAAACTATGACATCAAATGTAATAGTGGGCTATGATAAACTGTGATATCAAATGTAATAGTGGGCTATGATAAACTGTGACTGTGTAATAGTGGGCTATGATAAACTGACATCAAATGTAATAGTGGGCTATGATAAACTGTGACATCAAATGTAATAGTGGGCTATGATAAACTGACAGTGTAAACTATGACATCAAATGTAATAGTGTGCTATGATAAACTGTGACAGTGTGATAGTGGGCTATGATAAACTGTGATAGTGTAATAGTGGGCTATGATAAACTGTGACAGTGTAATAGTGGGCTATGATAAACTGTGACAGTATAAACTATGACATCAAATGTAATAGTGGGCTATGATAAACTGTGATATCAAATGTAATAGTGGGCTATGATAAACTGTGACTGTGTAATAGTGGGCTATGATAAACTGACATCAAATGTAATAGTGGGCTATGATAAACTGTGACATCAAATGTAATAGTGGGCTATGATAAACTGACAGTGTAAACTATGACATCAAATGTAATAGTGTGCTATGATAAACTGTGACAGTGTGATAGTGGGCTATGATAAACTGTGATAGTGTAATAGTGGGCTATGATAAACTGTGACAGTGTAATAGTGGGCTATGATAAACTGTGACAGTGGGCACTGATAAACTTGTGTACTATTATCCTCTACTAAGACGATATTTCACAAAGAACGCATCCATTGTTTGTCGTGCATTAGAGGTTCTATGTAAAGAACGTTCAGCTGACACTGGATTATAAAAGCAACGGGTCAAAGAGAGTGAAGAAACAAACCCCACTGTCTCGCGACAAACAAACAGGCTCATGACACCTGTCAGTGTCGCTATTGTGCCAAAAGGTGCCACGGTCACGTCACGTCTGTCTGACAGCTTATACCTGTCTGTGGACTGGGGCTGTGGGGGGGGGGGGGGGCACAGGACCTTTTAAGATTGTCTCACGACTTTCATTACACGACATTTTTAAATTGTCTCACGACTTTCATTACACGACATTTTTAAATTGTCTCACGACTTTCATTACACGACATTTTAAAATTGTCTCACGACTTTCATTACACGACATTTTTAAATTGTCTCACGACTTTCATTACACGACATTTTTAAATTGTCTCACGACTTTTCTACAATAAATATTTCACCCCCCCCCCCCCCAACAAAACAAGTTAAAAGATTAAAATCGTTGCGTCCTATGCAAGTGTGTTGTGTGTCCAACCCTCTCGAGTGTGTGCTCTAGCCAACAGATTGGGATCTACTACAAGACACACCGCAAGCTATAAATATCACGGACTTCTTTAAAACACAACACAACTAAATTGTCAATTACAAACTGTTTTTTTCTCTCTCTTTACTACGTTTAAACGCACACATGTGTTCCTTCTACTCCCCAACTACATGTGTTTAAA